AAAACAAAACAAAACAAAAAGATGTGGAGGAGAAACTGAAGGGCATTTTGTAACCTAGTACAATTTACTTAGGTACTGAAGCAAATATTGTCCAAAAATCAGTATAATGTGAGATTTAAGGTCTCATAAGAGTCATTTCTCTGCTGGCTCTGGTTTCTCTAACTGGGCACTTTTGAAATTAGTGTAGACTGTATCTTTAAGGGAAAAGAAGTAGAATGTAAGATAACTGTTCCCTCAGAGACAAAGCAGGCTATGTCACGGTAGGTACTATACAATTATTGAGAGGCCATCTCTTCCATTTTGATAAGTTGACCTATTGTCAAACAGAAAGTGAGATTTCAAGTTATCAGTCTGAAACAAGGAAGAATTAAGTCTTTAATAAATCATTGCTTGGGGAAAGAATAACATCTGGCTCCTCTCTTCAAGAATTAAATAAAGCAACAGTAAAATCAACAGGTTGAGATGTTTAATTACATGCCAACCAAGAAAATAATTCAAAACACAAATAATTAAAAAAAGTAGAGAATTACCAATTTCAGTTTTGCATGCGGCACAATTCCTAAAGAGAACACACATTGTTCATACATCCTGGAAGAACTATCTGTTGTGAAAAAGTATTTTTCTATCTTAACACCGGTCTGCAATTTTAAACAAGTTCCAGTAAATTGAATTCAAGGTTTCTAAACTACTTACAGAAGTGGGAATCAGGATCACTTCATCAGAAGTCCTTCTTGTAGCAGGTGAACACAGGTATGTAGAATTCTCTTCAATCAGCAAAGACGACAGATGTGCAATCAGTTAATGATTTTATACTCCAAATAGAAACTAGTCCTCAGGGTGGTATGCCATGCAAATGAGTGTTGGAAGTGCTCCAAGGGACCTAGTTTGCACTATTCACAAGTTTCAGTAGTTTGAAGCTTCTTCTCAGCACGAGATCATTTATCTTGCCAATTAATTAGAGATGAAAACTGAAGACACCAGTTTTATATATCCTTTTGTTTATTTTATTTTTAGTGAGTTCTGTATATCCTTTCTGCTTTATTTTTTATTAAAATTTTTTTTTAATTTATTCACTTTTGAGAGGCAAAGAGAGACAGAGCATGAGTGGGGGAGGAGCAGAGAGAGAGGGAGACACAGAATCCGAAGCAGGCTCGAGGCTGCTGTCAGCACAGAACCCAACATGGGGCCTGAACCCACAGACCACGAGATCATGACCTGAGCCACCCAGGCACCCCACTTGCTTTAGAATTATTCGTGCACGGGGTGTCTCTGTGGCTCAGTTGGTTAAGAGTCTGACTTTGTCTCAGTTCATGATCTCACGGTTTGTGAGTTCGAGCCCTGCATCAAGCTCTGTGTTGACAGGTCAGAGCCTGGAGCCTGCTTCGGATTCTGTGTCTCTCTCTTCTCTCTGCCCCTCTCCCACTTGAATTCTGTATCTCTCTCTCTCTCTCTCTCAAAAATAAATAAACGTTAAATATTAAAAAAAACATTATTTGTGCACATTTCTTTCAACAAAATAGTTGAGAATAATTGATCATAAGCCCTTAGGTTCACTTCGTGTTGGTTAAAGAAGTCACAGTAGATGAAACAGTTCCCTGAATTCAGCCGAGTTAGATTCTTGTTCTGTTACCCCCTCAGTCATCCCTTACCCTTTTCGTCCCTCTGCCTTCCCATTGGTAAGAGTACCTACAAGTAGACTCATATGTCCATACTTTATGTGGATACTACCAAGGAAAATAACACATTTGATCATATTCTGCTCTCTCTGAGTTTTGGTACCAAACCTCCAGGGGATGGGATGCCTCTTTATGGCCTTGGAGAGATCATTCCTCAAAATAAATCAAACCGGTGTTGCAAAAACCACATAACTGTAAAGGTGACAAAAGATTACATCTGCCAATGGGGCCTGTAGTAGGAAGTATAGGGGTCGAAGGAATGAAATAAAAAAAAAAAATGAAGGAGGTTGACAGACACCTCCACCTTCTCCACAAGGCCTGGGCCAAACCCAGTGGTCGTCACTGGAAACTTGCCTGTATCCAGTCCACGTGCATAGAAATAGATTTTTAACTCCAGAACTTGATGATCAGACCAGGAAGGATCCTGCGTTATCACATACCGTGACACCTTTTGATTCATAAATCCTAATCCACCCTGCAATCAGGCAGAGATTCCCATGGCTCTAAGTCTAATCTGACCAAGAGTTTGTGAAAAGTAAGGACAAATGTCTTCCAAATAAAAGAAGGCCTAAGAAGGAAACTCTCAAAAAGAGTCTTGTGTTTTGTTTGTTTGGGGGATATATTGCATCAAACCTGAAATGCAATATGCAAGCACATGTGTGATTCCTCTGTCAGAGATTACCTAACCTTCTGTGCCCTGTTTTCTAATCTATTAATTGAATATAATACAATACCTACAACCACAAGTTTGTCATGAAGATGGATGAGTGTTAAGAATGGTTCCTGTTACATGGCAAGCTGGACAGACAAGAGTGGGAATAGATACTAGTCCCGATTCTGTGTTAACCCTCCCAAGTTAGGGCTCTGATCCCCTCTTCCAGACTGACTTTCAGAAATACACTCCAGGTACATAACAACTGGGAGCAAAACTAATTGGGGTTTGGATCCTCTAGATCTTCTTGCTCATCTTGGGATTCATTGATGTTCCATTTGTACAGCTTTCATCAAAGAGGCTTTATATTTTAGAAACAAGACAGAAAAGAAAGTGGAATATTTATAAGGTAGTCAAAAGTGTTGTTTAGATTTAGGATCTTAACAATTAGTTTTGCTATTTAACAATGCTAAAGCTACTAGAGTAGGCTATAAGACAAGAATATTAATGTTCCCCCCTCCCCCAAAGCAATGTCTGACTCCTTTGAGATAAGCTGTGAGTGTTGGTCCAGGAGAGATAAAGGTTACTAGGAGATATTCTAGAAAAGAAAATAATCTAACTGATGATACCCAAGGGACCCATAAATGCTAGCAATATTTGAGACAGGCAGTCAGTAAGTTTTTAAGAATTGCCTCTATTCATATTTGCAATCTGAAACAGTAATCACCATTGATGACTAAGGTCTAAGAAAGTCAGGTTTTTCTTTTTCTTTTTCTTTTTCTTTTTTAACAGAAAGAATAATAAAAGCAATTCCCTTGAGGACACAAATAAAAAATCAATTGCAGAACAAGATTTCCTGTTTTTCATAGCCCCTCTGCAATCCAGTCAAGATCAATTAAATGCATATGAAAGGGAAAACCTACGTTAGCAGTAGATGAGGCAAAAAAAAAAAAATGTGGGCTTTACCAAGAGATACACCAGGTTTTGAATATTATGATCTTGGAAAAGTTGCCTAATCTCTTGAACAGGGGATTTAAGCTAGAGGTTATGGAGAGTGCTAGGAAGATTAGGTAGTTCAGTGGTAGGAAGCATCTCCTTTACTCAATGTGATGACACATTCCTTCGGCCTAAAATGCAGTCTTCCCTACACCCCAAGCCAGGCAAAATTTTCCTCCTCCATATTCTGTAGCTTATTGTGCCTGGCTCTATCATAAGATATATTACCATGCAGGGTAATTGAATGGCTATGTCTCTCCTATTAGACCATGAGCCCCTTAAGGCCAGGATTTCAGCTTTATGTGTCTCTGAACAAAAAACACTCAGAGTAGTACTTGGCACATAGTAGATGCTCAGTAAATGTTTATTGAACTGAGTGGCTTTTAATATAGGCTGTCCATGGCAGCCACCATCCTCCTGGGATAATGGCTGCTCTATTCAACCTCAATACATTCTGGAAAGAAGAGCACTGGGTTTGTAATAATAATGGAATGATTCACTTTTCCTCGGACTAGCCACCTTCCCCTAGGGAAGAGAAGGTGGAGCTGTTTTGAGAAACAATTGAGCTGATGTTCATGGACATCCTTTGTAAATTACAGAAGTGCTTTATGAAGGTAGGGAGTGATTATGACTGCAGCAGAAGCTTCCATATGCTCTTTCATTTCTCCTCTATTTAGCTATGCTTTTAGTGGGCAAGAGAAAATGTGGCCTGTGGCCACAGATCCGAGTTCCTTGATACTAAGTCAACCATTTTGTGTGATTCTAATTTTTGTAATGTTTTGTTGATTTTTGAGAGACAGAGAGACAGAGCACGAACTGGGGAGGGGCAGAGAGAGAGGAGACACAGAATCTGAAATAAGCTCCAGGCTCTAAGATGTCAGCACAGAGCCTGACATGGCGCTCAAACTTGTGAACTGCGAGATCATGACCTGAGCCGAAGTCAAATGCTTAATCAACTGAGCTGCCCAGGTGCCCCATCCTTATGCTATGCTGAGGGTCAAATGAGAAAATGCACATATACCGAGTAAGTGGCTGTCCTTCTCATTCAGTCTCTCAGTGCTAGCAGTGCAAATAACCTTGTTGAATCCCGAAAAAGGAAGAGAGGCTCATCATGGGAAGCAGATTGTAAAATACTCTTTCCATCATATGGTGCTCTATCTATTGACCCATCTGACCCAGGAAGGAGGTCTATGTTGGCCTAAAGACCAAGGAACTCCTCCTGTTTCTTTGAGTCTTCAAAAGGAAGGAGTACCATTAGCCTCTGGAATGTCGTGTTTGGGATTAGGGGCAGAAGAAATCTCCTCCTGAAGGATTAAATGACTGTAGTCATTAAAGAATAAACCAATACTTTACCAAGCATCTTGAAACCTAATTATGATTTTAAATACTGTCCTTTGATGATGATGATGATGATGATGATGATGATAATAATAATAATAATAATTTGCCAAAACATCTCAGGATCTAAATATGCTATATCTAAATGGTTAAATTACAAGTACTGGCCTCAGGAAGCTATAAATATTCAACAGAACATGTAGATCCAGAGAG